CTATCTATCTTTTTTAGACAGGTGATTTAGTTTGGCTCTGTGTCCCCACTTAAATCTCATCTTCTAGCTCCCATAATTCCCACGTGTTGTGGGAAGGACCTGATGGGAGATGATTGACTCTGATGGTTTTAAAAATGGGAGTTTCCCTGGACAGTCTCTCTCTTTTGCCTGCTGCCATTCATGTAAGACATGACTTGCTCCTCCTTGCTTTCTGCCATGATTGTGAGGCTTCCCCAGCCATGTGGAACTCCAAGTCCAATTAAACCTCTTTCTGTTGTAAATTGCCCAGTCTTGGGTACACCTTTATCAGCAGTGTGAAAATGGACTAATACATCAGGAAACTATAGTTTTTCCAGAAGCCTTGCCTGTAGTCTTATACCTCATTGGCCAAAACTCTGACACATGGCCACCTAGCTGCAAAGAAGAGTGAAAAATGTAGACTTTAGCTGGGTTATTGCTACCCAGAACAAAATTCAGGTTCTATTGTTAGAAAGGGGAAAACATGGCTATTGGGTTGACAACTAGCAGTGCCTGCCACAAAAACACTTTTTAAAGTTGCATCCAGAAAGGGCTTACCCCTCAGGAACCTTGGAGACAGTGAGAAAATGAATAAATTTAATATTTTGAATAAAAGTTATTTACAGGCTCAGGTTCATGTTCAGGTTCAGGCTGAGGACAAAGGTATGATCTATGCTCCCACCGGCGGGCAATTAGACATAGTTGATCAAGGGCTAGCTTGAGTGATTTCTAAAGGAGGCAGGCACCTTCCTGCTTATGCTATAGGATGCCTGAAAGGCACCAGCAAGCAATGAACACCCTCAAAAGAATTTAACAATGATTGCTGATTTTTGTATTTTGTATCCAACTTTAACACTAAAAAATTCCTTTTGGAATGGGCCAGTTGCATTAAAAAGCAGCACAGTTCAATAGTTAAAAAAAAAAAAACTTTTTAAAATTAAAAATCCAAACTTACTTGGCATTTCTTGAGAACTATTAAAAGGGTACCATTTCACCTCTCCTCTCCCATATACTCATGTGGTTTGTTGTATCTTACAAAAGCATTAATTCATAATGAACTAGAATTTTTTAAAAGATCCTACCATAAAGAGCTTAAGTACTGCTCTAGTATGAACCACTGATTTTCATTCTAAAGACTTAGAATTGGTCCAGTGGGACCGACTGTCCTTTGAGAGTTCGAATTCTTATTATTGGGGGAGAGTAGAAGGGAGGAGAACTTGGGAAGATTCATAATACAGCAATGTTTTTACTCATTATACCACCATTAAAAAAGGCACAAAATGTAAGAATTTCAGCTGGGGGTGGAGAAGAGGGGCTTACCTAGCTTCCTTTGGCTTCCTTTACTATCACTCAAGTGTTTTAATGTTATAGCCACCCATTCTTTTCTTGGGCCTCCAGAGGAGGAAACAAGTAATGGTCAATTGACCAAAAGTAATATGGGGCAATAAATCAGAGCTATTGAAATGCTGTGTTTCCCCAGATATTCTGGTGTGGCATCCAAAAGTTGAATCGGGTAAGGAAGAGCTGGCTACTCACTGTATCCAATATAAATTATGACAGGTGGATATTAATTAAATATAGAATTGATGACACTCTAAAAGAAATTTGGATATAAATCAGCTTCTGTTGAATTGACAATATTCCTCTGTTGTGGAATATAGTAATATCTCAGGCATTTGAACTCCAGCCTGATTAAATTCATAGGTTCCTGGAATGGCTCTAGATCAGATTGAGTATCAGTTAGCTATTGCATACAAAACACCCCAAACTGTAGTGGATTTAAGCAACCATCCTTCATTATTTCTCACAAGCCTAGGGGTGATGTGTGGGCTGGCTGATCACCACCACCAGGATTGCTCGTGTGTCTGAGGGTTTCCTGAAGTCTCTGCTCTGGGCAGGGCTTAGCTGGAGCATCTAAGCAAGGAAAAGTCTGCTCCATGTGTTATTCATCTTTCACCTGAGACCAGCATACATGCCTGGGTATGTTCTTCTCATGGCAATGGCAGGAATTCCAGAGGGCAAACAGAATCACTAAGGCCTCGGGACTTAGGCTTAGACCAGGTCCACTCTTCTGGCACATCACCTCATCCTACCGGCCAAAGCAAATCACATGCCCAAACCAGGTCATAGGTAAAGGGGAGATTCTTCCCTTCTAGTGAGGAAAACCACAAAATCACATGTCGAAGGATGAGGAAACAAGACAGATAAAGAATTAGGGCCATGAATGTAATTTCCAAAGTGTGATGGTTAATTTTATGTGTCAGCTTAATTAGGACACAAGATGCTCATTTATCTCTTTGAATATTATTTCTGGTGTATGTGTAAGGTTGTTTCCAGCAGAGATTAGCATTTGAATTGACAAACTGAGTAAAGCAGATGGCCCTCCCCAATGTGGATGGGAATTATCCAACCCACTGAAGGCCTGAATAGAGGAAAAAGTCAGAGTAAAGTTGAATTCTTGCTCTGCCTGACTGCTTGAGCTAGAACATTGGTCTTCTCCTGCCCTTGGCACTCCTAGTTCTCAGACCTTCAGACTTGGAGTGGAATCTATACTATTGGCTCCCCAGCTCTCATGCCTTCAACGCTGGCTTTCCTGGGTATCCAGCTTGCAGACAACAGATTGTGGGACTTCTCACTCTCTGTATTCACACAAGCCAATTCCTTATATTAAATCATAGGACGGCCACGCATGGTGGCTCATGCCTTTAAAATCCCAGCAGTTTGGGAGGCCAAGGCAGGTGGATTACCTGAGGTCAGGAGTTCAAGACCAGCCTGACCCACATGGTGAAACCCTGTATATACTAAAAATACAAAAAATTGGGTTTGGTGATGGGCATCTGTAATCCCAGCTACTCAGGAGACTGAGGTGGGAGAAACGCTTGAACCAAAAAACAAAACAAAATAAATCATATGACACTGAAGTTACAGACATTACTTTCCTAATTTGAACCATTATTTTAAAACAAAGAGATTTCACATACAAATCCTGATATTTTTTGAAAAATCAGAAGCTCTGCAACACAGGGTCCACATTCCTACGTGTCTCCATAGTTCTCAGGAGCTGAATAGTAGCTGCCCTGTCCATTTATTTGCTTTATCTCCCTAGCCCTTGGAGCCATTTAAGTTTGCTTTATACAGTACTAGTTCTATAGCCAGATCCGTTTCTTAAGCTTCAGATAGGCTTCTGCAGTGCTCATTATTTACCAAATACCTCAAACTCAATATAAACAACAAAGTCAAAACTAAAGCATCCCTTCCTCCTCATGCAACATACTCTTCTCCGATAGTCCCTATTGTCAGGTCTATCTATATGCAAACCTGGAGTCTGAAAGTCTGAAGTCCTGCTTACCTCGGCTGAAGTCTCCCACCCCTTGCCTGCATTCGCCATTATCCCTGATGACCCAGCGGAGCTTCCCCAGACAAGCCCCTCACCCAACCCTGCCATCTTAACTGTACTTATGATAGTGTAAATACCTCTCACCCAATCCTGACATCTTAACTGTTTTATAATAATGTAAATACCTCTCACCCAACCCCACCACTGTAACTAAACTTACTCTGCAACACCTCTGCCCCCCAAAAAACTACCCAAACCTATAAAACCAACTCCTATCCCACTGCCCTTTGCTAATAACCTTTTCGGCCTTAGCCCACCTGTACCCAGGTGAATAAACAGCCATGCTCCTCACACAAAGCCTGTTTGGAAGGTCTCTTCATTCAAAGTGCATGTTTTTTCAACAGCTACCTTCCTTGTCCAAGCTAGAAACCTATTCATCACTTTGACTTTTCTTTCCTTCTCTAATATACTACAGTATAAAATTTTATTCACAATGAAACTACAGTGTCTGGGAATTAACCTAAGAGAGAATGTCCAAGACCTTTCCAGAAACAAGTGTTAAAACTGTGCTAAAGTCCAAGAAAAAGTTAAGGATGAGGAGTCATTCAACAGGCAGCAGGTGGCTGATTAGGCAATCATGATGGTTGAGAGGTATGGTGCCTCATTGTCCAGATACTGTGATCTGGTAACTTTCAGTTCCTTGATACTATACAGGAGGGCCTGATGGTTGGTTTCCCAGGAAAGGAACTCAGATAAGACAGATGTAAGTTTCTGAAGTTTTAAGACTGGGAGGGTAAATTTCCAGGTTTATTCAAAAGAAACCATAAACATCAGTTCTATAGGACAGTCGGGCTGATTTCACACCCACCAGCATTCCTTCCTGATAAAGAGGCTACCAACCACAGAGAAGTGCTGGCCAATACACCAGGGACTCGCAGTGAGGGTTTTCACGTCCTCTGCTTTGCCTTTTGATGTCAGAGGGCTGAAAATTTCATTCTGGGATCATGCTAACACGGCCATTTTTTGGATATGGGTCCCATAGAGAGGCAGGAAGCTTAATTGTACATGTGCGTTTCTCCTTTCATAAATATTCATGACTCCTTCTGCAGCTCATTGAATATGTATATTCGGCCACCCTGCTCACCATAAACCGTTCTCTTTGCCTTTCCCGCCAACTGTCTGTTCTCAGCTTCTGACCGTAGGCCATGCTTCCAAGCCTGTCAGAATGGCCACCTTGCAGACTGTAACCCTTCATGAGAAATAAAGCTCTCCTAAATTTATCAGCCTCCTCATTTTTCGGTTGGCCTTAGGAAGTAGAGCATCAGAACAGTCCATTCCATTCCCGGTTTACTATTCTCTTTATTAGTCCCCTACAAATAATTTATGGGGTACTCTGTTATCTGTAAAACAAGGAGCTAGGAAATGCACACTATGCCAAAAGTTTGCTGAAGGAACATCAGCAAGTGCAAATGTCTAAGATCAGCGGCTGCAAGCCTCCCTATCACTCTAGGGCCACACTGCCACCGTCTCTCCACCCTCTTCGGGGATCGCCCCTCCGCAGGCTAGACGTCCGCAGGTGCACTATCCGGTCCTTCCGGCTTTCCGTAGCTTCCTGTTCCGTCTTGGCCCCGCCCACCGCCGGCGCCATTGTTTCCGGCTCCATTCGGGAACCGCTGGAGATCTTCTAGATCTGGCCCGTGGTTTCGGACCCCGACGCTCCTGACCCTGTGTCTGTATCTGAAGAAGGTAGTTCCCAGCAAAGTTCTCCAGTGTCCAGGCCCTGCACATCGAGCAGGGGCTATCCTTCGTTGCCCGCAGCCCCGTTCAGCTGCAAGCAAGTTTCTGGGCGTCATGGCCAGGGGCCACCGCAGCCGGCCGGGTGTGAGGCTGCCCTTCGCTGCCCGCGCGCTCCCCTGGCTTCTGGGTCCGCCGGCGGCCGTTTCGGCCTGAACGCCCCTCCGCGACTACTAGCTGTCTCGCGCCGGACCTCATGGCTTCGGAGGCGCCGTCCCCACCGCCGCCGTCGCCGCCTTCGGTGTCGCCGCCCGCCTCCCCTGAGCCGGAGCTGGCCCAGCTGAGGCGAAAGGTGGAGAAGTTGGAACGCGAACTGCGGAGCTGTAAGCGGCAGGTGCGGGAGATCGAGAAGCTGCTGCATCACACAGAACGGCTGTACCAGAACGCAGAAAGCAACAACCAGGAGCTCCGCACGCAGGTGCGCGGTCCGCCTCAGCCCCGCGCCCCAGCCAGCCCGAGGCGAGGTCTTCGAAGCCCTTGATAGTCTCCGAAGGGGTCCCTGGCAGGGGCTCAGAACTACTATAGAGTACTTGAAATAATTATAAGTAAAAGCTCCCCATAGTTACAATTCCAGGTACATTAGGAGCAAACCCGAGTTCAGGTCACTTGATTGAATCAATGTCCCGCGGCTGGCGTGAATTGAACTTCAGTACTATGGCTACATTGTCTTCGTTCTCACTTGACCCAACATCCCATTGGCAGTAGGTGCTTTTATTCTAGATCACATTTGAGTTTATTAAAATATTGACCTTGAGTCAGAATGGCATCTCTGCCATTTTCCGGATGTGTAAACTTATACTGAACCTCAGTTCCTCATCAGATGAGAATGATAGCTCACAGTTGTGAAGGGGAAATACAATGAAACATGAGAAAACAAACAATTTTACAAACTTTTGAACGCTGTCCTCTGAGCGTTTATCGTCTTGGGTTTTCTTGTGGAAGTAGGGAAGATATAATATAACTGCCTTCGTTAGAGACGTTAAGCAGCTTATTTCGTTTTCAGACTAAATAGTAGGGACAAATAGTAGTACTTAAACTGTCACGTTAAAAACAAAAAACCAAGAGCATAATATATATTTTTTTCCACCTTGATCTCTTGGGCTGTTGCACCCTCTCCCGGTTATTTCCAGTTACTAGTTTCAATTTAACTGTTGTCTGGTTCTTTATAATTTATTGATACGCTTACTAAAACCAATATATAGGCTGAGCACTAAAACGTCATCAAACTTTTTAATGTTTTGTTACCAAATGAGCTATGAAAATAACTGCTGAGTTGCAATGACTTTGTATGGCCGTTACATACAGTTCTTGACATTATGATATAGGAAACTTTTTATTTGTTTAGTCAATTTGAACACCTGATGGTGTGTACAGTTGTGCTAGGAGAATACAGATGTGGTAAGAAGTATGGGGAGAGGAGCAAAATATGACAGGCTTTTTTTTTTTCTTTGAACGACAGCCGTTTGAAAACTTTATAATTCTAAATTGTTAAGCTACTTCTTGTGTTAGAGATTCTAAAAGAAAACATTTTTTGCTAATCTTCAGAGAGCCAGCATTTTGTATGCTACTGTTAATTTGATAAATCAGACTAAGTAATGGTACTTTGTGAACAGGATCCTTTATTTCTTACAAAAAAAAATGTTTTTATGCTAATATTTTAAGAAATCAGCAATTCTCCCTAAAGAATTAGAAAATTTAAATGCTATTCCATTCATATTATCTAATATCATTCAATGTTCTCCACCTGTATTTATTAAATATGTTAATTCCACTTACAAGCTTTAATGCACTTTAAAAAATAGTTCTACGACTAACTGCAGCAGAAGCGAACAGAAGGTGACTGCCTTCACTGTCCTCCACGTGCTTCCGTTTTAGTCCAATATTAAAAATTTAATCACATAGAAAGTCTCGACTCTACTTTGGATAGTAATAACTCCTTAACTCTCCTAGTCAGCCTCCCTTAGTTGGGGAGGGGTGGGTTTGATTAACTGTCATCCCAAGTTACTGAATATGTTTTACCTGGAGCAGTTAAAAAGTTTTGCTTGAGAATTCATGATGAACTACTAGAGAACCATAGTAAGTATAGACTTTGTACAAGGTCCAAAAATAGCCTTGTGCAAATTACTTGTCAATACTTTATATGTAAAATCAGGGTTAGGACAACTAATATTTCAGGTGGTTGTGTGAATTAATGAGATGTTACCTAAAGCATGAAGTATAGTGTACAGCATGTGCTAGAAACTAAGTAGTCTAATACATACTAATAGGGATAGTAGCCAGAGCCAGGGTAAGGGCAAGGCAGTCAGGCTCCTAGGGCAAGGAATTTAATGGGACACTAATCCCCGTGTGTGGACTGTGTACTTGTATGAATCAGAGGAGTGCCTGAAATTTTTCATGCTCTGTGTCTTGCTTTCCTCAATGTAGTTCCTGCCCTAGTAGTAGCAACAGATTGAGTAACTCATGAAGTGCTTGGATAATCTGTATATAATCAGTTTTAGCACCTTTCTCTGCTTTAGCTTTATCATTAAATCAATATTTAAAAGCTTGTTTTTTAGTTGGTTTCATGTGTGTAGGAGACATTGTCTCATATTGAGGTCCTCTCAGACTGAGGTACATTCACTGAGGCAATGTGTTATCTGCTTTTGGGCATTTCCACACTCTGTTTCTCTCTGTCCTATGTAGTAGCATCCTTTTAAGGGTATTTCAGTGTGTGTGTGAAGTACATGTAGGACAGATGCCCCTGTTGGAGAGTCACTTTCCCTGTTCTGCTGCAGTTAATTATAGGACTACTGTTTAATGAAAAAATGTATTAAAGCTTGTAGGTGGCATTAACATTCAAGTGGATAGTTAATTCCAAGTGGAAGATACAGAATGATATTAGATAATTCAGTAGGGATGAGAATTTGTCATTTTAAAATTTTCTAATTCTTGGCTGGGCGCGGTGGCTCTCGCCTGTAATCCTAGCACTTTGGGAGGCCGAGGTGGGTGGATCACCTGAGATCAGGAGGTCAAGATGAGCCTGGCCATCATGGTGAAACCCCATCTTAAACAACAAAAAAAATTTCTAATTCTTTAGGGAGAACTACTGACTTTAAAATATTAACATAGGTCGCGCGGGGGCTCACGCCTGTAATCTCAGCACTTTGGGAGGCCGAGGTGGGTGGATCACGAGGTCAAGAGATCAAGACCATCCTGGCCATGGTGAAACCCCCTCTCTACTAAAAATACAAAAGTTAGCCGGGCGTAGTGGCACGCGGCTGTGGTCCCAGCTATTCCGGAGGCCTAGGCGAAAGAATCGCTTGAACCTAGGAGGTGGAGGTTGCAGTGAGCTGAGATTGCGCCACTGCACTGCAGCCTGGCGACGGAGCAAGACTCCGTCTCAAAAAAAAAAAAAAAAAAAAAAATTTTAACATAAAAACATTCTTATTTGTTAGAAATAAAGGACCCTGCTCACAAAGTCTCATTATCTAGTTCAACTTTTGGAGGAGATATTTGGTCATTTAGTATGAGAGTTTAGGAGTTTAGGAATAAAAATGCCTTTTTTTTTTCTTTTTTTTAAAGATGGGGTTTCGCCATGATGGCCAGGCTGGTCTTGAACTCCGGACTTCAGGTGATCCACCCACCTCGGTGTCCCAAAGTGCTAGGATTACAGGCGTGAGCCACTGCGCCCGGCAAAAATGTCTTTTAAATGTAAAAAGTAAAATAATTTTAGCTTTTTTGAAAGGGAAACTGGCTGCTCTTGACATTTCTCTAAAACTGTTATCAAGAAAAACATAACAGCAAAAGACTGGTATGTAATTATTAGATGGTTACATGATTTCTTTTTCCTAAAGCCTTGTTTTCTTTCAGGTGGAAGAACTCAGTAAAATACTCCATTGTGGGAGAAATGAAGATAATAAAAAGTCTGATGTAGAAGTACAAACAGAGAACCATGCTCCTTGGTCAATCTCAGGTATTCAGCTTATAGTGAGGATATGCTTATACTGTTACATTCAAATCATGCTAATGTGGAGTTTTCTTTAAATTTGAAATAAACCAAGATCAAGGTAAATGAGAATTGTTAATACCGTTGACTTCCCTTCATATGATATGGTATTTTCAGATAATCAATTTGTTCTTCTGGCGGAAAAAGTAGAAATGTATTGTCATTCCTGTGATTTCTGTGATGTTGCTGTTATGTTTTCAGTAGCACACTCACTGAGTAATTTTTGGCATGCAGTTAGCCGTCTACTTCCATAGGCTGGCTGGCCTTGTGACCAGGGGCATTTGTTTTTTTGCTGAGTTCTGATTAGAATTGTGTATAGTATTAATCTCTTAGACCCTTGTGGGAATGGTGAGCCCACCACCATGGCCTCTCTAGTAGCATTATGTTATAAAGCAAAATAGCTGAGATACTGAGTTTTAATATATATGCATCACAAGAAGTAGTCATCTTTCCTATTAAGTTTTGCCTCACTTCATTCAGGACATAATTTGGCTAAATTGCTAAACATTGCAATAGTGCTAACCTTATTTATCTGTATGATATGTTTTAAAAAGTCTGCATCAGTAGAGAAATTCTACCAAAAAAAAAACAAACAAAAAAAAAACCCTAATTCCTTGCGTTTTTATTTCATTATCAATTGATAAGCAACAGTATTAAGGTATCTGGTTAGAAGTTGAGAGTTGTTTTTTTTTTTATAGAACATAACCCATCTACCTATTTTTATTGTACTCTTGTTGTAAAAAATGTAAACCAACTTAACTTTTCTTTTCTCTTTTTAACCTGACAGCTAGGGTCCTGAAGGAGACATTAGAATAAAAAATATTCACTTCTGCACTTAACCTGTACCATCTGTTTTAATCTTTTAAAATTTGTACAGTTATAAAAATCATTTATTTGAAGTATGTGCTTTTTTATGTTTAAATCCCAGTGTTTCGGAATTAAGTCCTTTTTATATACATTCTAATATGATATGATTTCACTTAATTTTTTTGCTACAGATTATTATTATCAGACATACTACAGTGATGTTAGTCTTCCAAATAAAGTGACTGAACTGTTAGATCAACAAGATCAAGATATCAGAACGTCTACTTTGAATTCCAAAGACCAGTTACAAATAGAAAATGATGCTTACCCTGGTACTGATAGAACAGAAGATGTTAAATGTAGACAAGAGGACCATTTTGCCTCAAATTCACAGGTAATAAAATGCTAAACATGAAACTGTTGATGTCCAAGAACTTGTCCTTCTTTATTGTTATTATGTGGAAAGATAGACTTCTTTAATTCATCACAGCATATGCAAGGGTTATAAACATTCTTATGTGTAATTATGCAAAGAATGTTTGTTTTTCAAAAACAAAAATTCAAACTTTTTCTTTCTCTCTTTTTTTTTTTTTTTTTTTTTGAGACGGAGTTTCGCTCTTGTTGCCCAGGCTGGAGTGCAGTGGTGGATCTCGGCTCACCGCAACCTCCGCCTCCTGGGTTCAGGCAATTCTCCTGCCTCAGCCTCCTGAGTAGCTGGGATTACAGGCACACGCCACCATGCCCAGCTAATTTTTAGTATTTTTAGTAGAGACGGGGTTTCACCATGTTGACCAGGATGGTCTCGATCTCTTGACCTTGTGATCCACCCGCCTCGGCCTCCCAAAGTGCTGGGATTACAGGCTTGAGCCACCACGCCTGGCCCTGATTCAAACTTTTACATATGTGTAGTGGTTTTCCTGCTACATTGTAGTCCAAAATTTTATGATACACACAAACTGAAACAAAATTTGTCCAGATATTTTGACTCAACCAAAGAACTGTGGACAACAATAACATTTAAACCTAAAAAAATTTTAATGTTCCGTTATGTCAAATACCCTGCACTGTTCAAATTCCCCTGAAAGTTCTATAAATTTGTTTTTATAGTTTGTCTGAATCAGGATCCCCATTGTGTTTGATAGGTCTCATTTAATCTGCATTTTTCTCCTTCATTGATCTTTTTGAAATTTTTTTCCCATTGAACATATAATTGTTTAAGAACCTAGATCTTTGTCTTAGCCAATATTTCAGGGTCTGTATTTTGTGGATGGCTTCCCTGTGGTATACATTTGTTCTCAAATAATTGTCACTTATTTTTAGTGCCTTCAAAACTGGGTCAAAGTTGAATTTACTGACACACTAGTAACTATTGTAAAAAGTGATTCAAATCATAATTGATAGCCATCCTTTTTCATTGCAGAAATTGAAATAATTTCCTAAATACAATCTCAGGTCTTTAGGTCAGCCAGCCTTTTAATCGTTGTACAGAAGCTTTTGTCTTACTTGGCGTGACTTTATCTTTTATAGGAGCCAGCATCTGCAGTAGCAACAGAAGATACGTCCTTAGAAGGCTCATCATTAGCTGAAAGTTTGAGAGCTGCAGCAGAAGCAGCTGTATCACAGACTGGATTTAGTTATGATGAAAATACTGGACTGTATTTTGACCACAGCACTGGTTTCTATTATGATTCTGTAAGTATCTCAGACTTTCTTTTTTTTAATTGAGGCAGGGTCTGCTTGTGTCACCCAGGCTGGAGTGCAGTGGTGCAATCTCAGCTCACTGCAACTTCCGCTCCCCAGGTTCAAGTGATTCTTATGTCTCAGCATCCTGAGTAGCTGGGATTACAGTTGTGCACCACAACACCCAGCTAATTTTTTGTATTTTTAGTAGAGGCAGGGTTTCTCCATTGTTGGCCAGGCTGGTCTCGAACTTCATCTCAAACTTTTTAATATTGTATGATACCTTCTTTTTTTCTTTTTTTTTTTTTTTTTTTGAGACAGAGTTTCCCTCTTGTTACCCAGGCTGGAGTGCAATGGCGCGATCTCGGCTCACCGCAACCTCCGCGTCCTGGGTTCAGGCAATTCTCCTGCCTCAGCCTCCTGAGTAGCTGGGATTACGGGCACGTGCCACCATGCCCAGCTAATTTTTTGTATTTATAGTAGAGACGGGGTTTCACCATGTTGACCAGGATAGTCTCGATCTCTCGACCTTGTGATCCACCCGCCTCGGCCTCCCAAAGTGCTGGGATTACAAGCTTGAGCCACCGCGCCCGGCCTTGTATGATACCTTCTTAGTGCCTGGTATCAAATATTAAACCCTAAGTTGAAGTAAGAAAACAAAAAGCTGCATTTGAAAATTACGTTTGGCTAGGCACAGTGGCTCATGACTGTAATCCCAGTACTTTGGGCAGCCAAGGTGAGTGTATCACCTGAGGTCAGGAGTTCGAGACCAACATGGAGAAACCCATCTCTACTAAAAATACAGAATTAGCTGGGTATGGTGGTACATGCTTATAATCCTAGCTATGTGGGAGGCTGAGGCAGGAGAATCTCTTGAACCTGGGAGGTGGAGGTTGTGATGAGCTGAGATCTCGCCATTACACCCTAGCCTGGGCAACAAGAGTGAAACTCTGTCTCAAGAAGAAAAAAAATTATGTTTGACTCAAAACTATTTGACAGAGAATTCTAAAATAGCTTATGATACCACACTTTTAAGTTTTTAAAATAAGGTTGTTTATTGTGATTATTATAGATAATGTTTTGGATAAGTCTTTATGTATAAAAATAACATATAAAAATATTAGGGCTTTTTAAATAAAAGCAGACAATTAACTACATTGTAAAATATTTTAGGACCTAAACTTTTTTTTTCATATAATTAATAGAGAAGATTATTAATTTTAGGCTTGGGGTGAGAATTTAAAAAATTATTTCAAATACTTTATGAATTCATTTTAGGCCACATAAGTAGACTTCTTTCTTGAATTCTTAGTAGCATGTTTATTATAGCCAGTGTTTTATATTCTGCGCCTTTTAAACATTTCCTTTTTTAAAAAATCAGTCTTTTAACAAGGCATGGTGGCTCACTCCTTGTAACCCCAGCCCTTTAGGAGGCTGAGGCAAGAGGATTGCTTGAGTCAAGAGTGCAAGACCAGCCTGGGCAACATAGTGAAACTGTTTCTATAAAACATTTTAACAAATCAGACTACAGGGTGAGTAGTGGCTCATCCTGTAGTTCCAGCTACTCAGGAGGCTCATGTGGGAGCATCTCATGAGCTGGGAAGATGGAGGCTGCAGTGAGCCATGATTGCACCACTGCCCTCCAGCCTAGGTGGCAGAGTGAGATCCTGTCTCAAACAAACAAACAAAAATCAGTGTGTTAACAGTGAGACCTAGGGATTTAATATGGGGTCTATAATGGATCACTGACTAGAATAGAACCAGAAAATAAAGTTCTTGATTTATAATACAGTGTTATGGCCGTTGAAGTCTAATACTTAATTGGATTTCATTCAGGATTTGTTGACAGTGGTAGAACTTACTCACATATCTCAGCCTTAAGAGTCTAGTAATGTAATCTGGTTTTCTGAGGAACTATAGAATGTGGTGCACAAAAGTGGAGTTGTTGTTCATCATTCCAGTTACTGGAATTATCGTTAACTTATCTAGAGAACATCAGGATAATACTGAGTATCTCAGTTAACATAAGAGATTTCATTAGTTTGTCAGTCTGCATGTAGTAAACTATAAGTCATTTGTGAAGAGAGGGTTTTTTTTCATGGGGGATGCTAATTGACAATGCTAATTAATAACCAGAAAATTAATGTTTAATCATTTATTCAAAGGGAGTAGTTAGTTTCTGGGAAAACAAGAGTTTCAAGTAGATATTAGTCTTTGTCAATCTTCTGCCTTCCTTTCTGTGTCTTTCTCTTGACATCAGTTGTTTTGTAAATGGTTAGTTACATTTTGCAGGTTATATTTCTGAGTAAATTAGGAACTTTGTTGTGTTGCCATTTTCATTGGGCTAATTTTTATTTTAGTAAAAAAATGTTTTTGTGTTTTGAAAATGACTATGTTTTGGACTGACAGATAAAAAAAGGTTTGAATTATAACAGTTCCATTATTACTAGAAATAAAGATTGGAAAGCCTCCATTCAGTTTCTTAGTTAAGAGAAAGATGGTGAGAAATTGAAATATTTTTGTAAGAGATCTGCAAAATGAATGGATTAAAGACAATAAATTGCAAGTATCAATAGTTAGAAAAATAAATTATTCTTTTTTAGGAAGTTTTAGTTGCTCAATTTCAGTACATCGTAAGATGTTTCCAAGTCTGGTCTGCATGGATTTATGATTTAAATAAAATACAGACTGTTCACTTAAATCTTAGTTATAGAGTACTGGCCGGGGTATCATAAATACAAGTGATTACCTAATTTTATCTTTCTGGTTTTCAGATCTATAGTTTGCAAAATTCATTTTTGCATGGTTGCTTGCAAGTCTTACTATAGAACTAATTAGTGAAGACAATTGTTTATTGATTTTATTCTATAGAATGTTATCTTTTGGTATGTATGAACATTATTTTCAGAATTTTCTTCGCTGATTTTAAGTAATGAACATCAAAAGACAAATCTTTGTTTTATGACATAGGAGGGTTTAGGGGTTTATACTGCCACATTATTATTGTGTAGTCATTAAGAATAAAGTGTCTAGAATTGCTCTTATTTGGCCAGCTTTTTCTTATACATGCCTTAGTTTTCATGCCTTCAAAAGTAGTATCAATTTTTGTTAGTGTATTAAGTGGAATCGTATGAAATTGCTGTTTCTTATAAGTTAAAAATGGTCAAGTATTGACAATTTTATATGATTCAATTTAATATTTAGATTTACTTGTTTCTCACACTAGAAAAAGTAGGTCAGCTATTGAATAGTAATGTATTTTGGAAGATGAAAGCATTTTTTATTCTCTTATCTTTAATTCATTGCCTTCTGAAAATACTATAGTTGTTCAAAGAAATATTTACTACATTTGAATATATTTGGCATTTTTGTTAAGTTTATTTTCTTGTACTTGAATAGAATTTTTTTTTTTTCTTGACTTTGAAAGGAAAATCAGCTCTATTATGATCCTTCCACTGGAATTTATTACTATTGTGATGTGGAAAGTGGTCGCTATCAGTTTCATTCTCGAGTAGATTTGCAACCTTATCAGACTTCTACGACAAAACAAAGTAAAGATAAAAAATTGAAGAAGAAAAGAAAGGATCTAGATTCTTCTGCATCAAATGAGGAAAAGGTAATGTCTTTATAATTTTAAAAATTTATGCATTGGTGATAATATAATTAAGCCAAATTTTTTTATGAAACTGACAGGCATTTAATAACTATTTCAAACATACCCTTTAAGATAACAAACAAGGAAAGTTTAGATGGAGCAAACATGGACTTTGTCATAAACTATCACTAGAAATAGAGAGCATTTCTTGAAATTTGAAGGAGGTAGATTTAGGGCAGATAAAATATCTCGTGTTGTATAGTTTGGAAGAATAATTGAGTCCCTCAGTTGATAAGTTGATGTCAGTGCACAATTCATAATAAAAGAAAAACACAGTTTATAGGTAGACATAGATACAGGTTCAACTTTTTTAGTCATGTGGAGCAATTTTTTACCTATTAGGAAAACATTTTCAAAAAATCCATTGCTGGTGACTATGGATTGACATAACATTTATTAGGATTAAGAGTTTAAATGGCCTGCAAGATAATGGTTAAGAAAGTGATAGTTATATTTAATTGAAAAAAGTATTATGTAGGCTTTCAGATGGTTCTATTTTTTTTTTTTTTTCGCTCTTGTTACCCAGGCTGGAGTGCAATGGCGCGATCTCGGCTCACTGCAACCTCCGCCTCCTGGGTTCAGGCAATTCTCCTGCCTCAGCCTCCTGAGTAGCTGGGATTACAGGCACGCGCAACCATGCCCAGCTAATTTTTTGTGTTTTCAGTAGAGACGGGGTTTCACCATGTTGACCAGGATGGTCTCGATCTCTTTTGACCTTGTGATCCACCTGCCTTGGCCTCCCAAAGTACTGGGATTACAGGCTTGAGCCACTGCGCCCGGCCCAGATGGTTCTTACAAAGATTAAGGGGAACCCCCAAAATGCCTATCCTACAATGTTAAACTGATAAAAGGAAAATATAAAAAGTTACCAGAGTTCTTATTTCTACTCTCTAAACAGATAAGGTTGGTGGTTTATAGGTAAGAAAGGAGGCTTGTTTGTTGTACTGACATTTTGTCAACTGTGGCAACTATTTGATAGCTTACTCTTGAAATTTTATCTCATCATTTTCTATCCCATCCCATCCTGTGTGTCTTTCCTGGCCTGTCCTGTCCTATTTTGAGACAGGGTCTTGCTCTGTCACTCAAGTTGAGTGCAGTGGTGCCATCATGCATGGCTCACTGCATCCTCGACCTCCTGGGCTCAAGTGATCTGCCTATTTTGGCTTCCCAAAATGCTGGGATTATAGACGTGAGCCACGTGCCAGCCAGTTTTTCTTTTCCAAAGAAAAATTACTTGATACTAAATTCTAAAGTTCATATAAGGAATTAGGATTCTTTTTTTTTTTTCTTTATTTGATTTGTTTCTGTTCTTCTGTTTTTTTTGTTGACAGTACTTAGGAATAGAAGAGTATATGACTAAAATACTAAAAGTGAGTTTTCTGCTTGCTTTTAAGATCTCTGTTTGAATGGCTTGTGCTTGTTACTAGTGATTTAACTGTTTGAAAGGCAAGATTGTGGGCCAGGTGCGGTGGCTGACGCCTGCAGTTTCAACACTTTAGGAGGCTGAGGTGGGTGTGTCTCCTGAGTTCAGGGGTTCAAGACCAGCCTGGCCAACATGGTGAAACCCCATCTCTACTAAAAACACAAGAATTAGCCAGGTGTGATGGCAGGTGCCTATAATCCCAGCTACTTGGGAGGCTGAGGCAGGAGAGTGGCTTGAACCTGGGAGGTGGAGGTTGTAGTGAGCCGAAATCGTGCTACTGCACTCCAGCCTGGGTAACAGAGTGAAACTCCATCTCAAAAAAAGAAAAGAAAAGAAAAGAAAGGCTAGGTTGTGAAAGCACCTCTTCTAACAATAGAAAAAGAGTTTATAGGGATCCCTAACAATAGAGTATATATGGCCTTTACTGAAAAACTAGAGAATAGGGTTGAAAGCATTCTGTGATATTTTGGTCCAGCCTCACTCCCATAACTACTCATCTTTGCCATCCTTCTTTGAAAGTATCTGAATTCCAAGACAAGAACTTTAAGAAAAATCCTGTTGGAATTTTGAGAATTTCCTGAGGATTCTAAAAGGTACCTGTGAGGCCATGAGAGTATCTTTATCTGTTTTTTTTATTTTTAAAGATATTTTTGAGTTTCACTTTTTGTAGCTGGAGGTTATGTGAAGGAAGACAGTAGAGGAGATAGGAGTAAATAATTTGAAATATATACATGTGCCTCAGTGCCGGTAAATAAGCCCTACTTTCTTTTCATTGAATGGATATCTAACATTCTGTACTGGCAAATAGCTTTCCCTGCATGTGTTGTTCAGTAAGTAATAAATATACAAGATTAGAAACTGCTTTTTTAGAGAATTTTTTAGCTATAATTTTATAATGTAAAAAAGCTCCTCATGGTTTTTCATCTCCTTGCCCTTGTTCTTGTCCCTGGTGAATTTGTATTTCTAGATGCATATAGAATTTCTCAAACTGTGAATGTTTAGACAGTCTCCAAGCTGAACTTAATGTTGTTATTAAAAATAGGTGTGTGAGATGCTGTCATAGTTTATAAAATAAAATATAAGGAGAGCCTATGAATTTGCTTCATGTTGCTCTAAGGTAGAAGGAAAAGTGAGAGTGTGTTAGAAAACAAGGGAAAAAAACAGAAAATAACTCTTTGCTCTTCCTAAGATTAAAATAATAGATTTGTCCATTGTATAACATGGTGGCTATAGTTAAAAACAATGTATTGTATTCTTGAAAACTGCTGAGAGCAAATTTTAAGTTTCTTATCACAGAAAAATAAGTATTTGCAATAATGTACATGTTAATTAGCTCAATGTAACCACTCTAGATTGTGTACATATTTCAAAACATCATGTTGTACATGATAAAAATACATAATTTTTGTTAATTAAAAAATAGATTTCTTTATAAGTTGTATCAGCTATAAATATACAGTAGATTATTCATACAATAGATTGTTAAAATTTTGGAATAAGATACTGTACTTTAAACTTTTATGTGTTATCAAGCCAAATCTGAACTACTAAATTTTAGCAAAACTAAATTTTGCCACATATTGAATACATTTGGATCTTTAAATTCATGATGTAAGTAAAGCTAATTCTGTGTCTTATTTGTGTTGACTTGCTAATTGGTTACAAGTTTAAAAAGAAAATTTAGAATAGGTATTCTTCAGGCCTGCGCTGTCCAGTAAGGTAGCCACCAGCTACGTGTGGCTGTCGAGCACTTGAAGTGTTGCTAGTCCAAAGTCAAATGTGCTGTTAAGTGTAAAATACACTCTGGATTTTGCAGACTTAGTACAAAAAATAAATGTAAACGGTCTCATTAATAATTTTACTTTTTAAATGTGGCTACTAGAAAATATAAAAGTACAAATATGGCTTGTGTTACATTTTCATTAGACATCATTGGTCTCTGCTATCCCACAGTCCAGGCAATATGTGATGAGGGCTTGAACTAGAAATGTTAAGACATTGGGAATAGATAGAGGGACAGAGTTGGGATATATTTTGAGAAAAATGTGTAGTACTTGTAATACTAATTTTGCATATGATTAAGGGGATCTCAGAGATAACTATAGGATTTTTAATTTGAATGATAAGAAGATGGAAATATCATTAACCAAGAAAGGAAATGTGAGAAGAGGGGGGTACAGATTGTAACCATTGTTATTTTACTAACATATATCTTCACGAATTTATTGAAACTTGATGTAATAAGATAGTGATGTTTAAGAGTATTCTCCCCTGTTCCCACTATCTACCTATCCTTCTCCAGGATTTGAATTCAGAGGATCAAAAAGCCTTCAGTGTTGAACATACAAGCTGCAATGAGGAAGAAAATTTTTCACATATGAAAAAGAAGACCAAAATAGGCATTCATCACAAAAATAGTCCTTCAAAATTCACTGTTCCAGCCAGTGGAAATACTGTAGAGTGTCCTCTTCATGAAAACATCTCTAATTCAACGTCATTTAAAGATGAGAAAATCATGGAGACTGATAGTGAACCAGAGGAAGGTGAAATTACGGATTCTCAGACCGAGGATAGTTATGACGAAGACATTACCAGTGAAGGCAATGTAACTGCCGAAGATAGTGAGGATGAAGGTGAGTTAATAATCATTAAGTAAATATCCCAGTCTGGTAACTCTAAAAGAGTAAAATCATTAAAAATGTTAGTGAGTCATAGTATTATCTGCCAAAAAGTAAACATTATTTTAATGATGTTATTGAAAATTATGTGGGCAGCCACTTGATTATTCTTAGAGAGTAGGATGTGAATAAATGACTAATACTTGGACCTTCAGAAAGTTTCATTGTATTGAATGGCCTAGTCAATAGAACACAAAATCAAGTTACCTACATTCTAATCCTAAAATATGGATTAAGGCTGTTTCAGTGTGTTAGATACTTGTAGTCTACTTTTGTAAAATGAGTTTTGAAAAACAAGTTGTCTTTAAAAAGTATACATTATGAATCCGACGTGGATATTACGGTAAATCTAATTTTTTTTTACTTGAATATTATAAAGACATACTTTTACAACACAGGATTTCATATTACATTTGGCTCTCTGTATCCATGGGTTCTTCATTAGTGGATTCAAACAACCTCAGGTCAAAAATATTCAGGGAAAAAAAATGGAAAGTTACATCTGTACTGAACATGTACAAACTCTTTTATTGTTATCCTCTAAACAATACTGTGTATCTATTTATATAGTATTTACATTGTATTAGGTATAAATAATCTAGAGATTTAAAGTATACAGGAGGATGCACATAGATTATATGCAAATACAATACCATTTATATAAGGACTTGAGCATCCATAGATTCTAGCATATGAGGAGGGATCTTGGAACTCATCTGTCACAGATACTGAGGGCCAACTGTATAGTGTATGAGCTTATTTTGTTCTTTGGTTCTCAGTGGCATTTCTCTGGATTTATTTATTTTTTTTGAGATGAAGTCTTGGTCTTTTGTTGCCCAGGCTGGAGTGTAGTGGTGTGATCTTGCCTCATTGCAACCTCTGCCTCCCAGGTTCAGGCGATTCTCCACCCTCAGCCTCCTGAGTAGCTGGGACTACAGGTGCACACCACCACACCCAGCTAATTTTTGTGTTTTTAGTAGAGACAGTGTTTCACCATGTTGGCCAGGATGGTCTCGATTTTCTGACCTCGTGATCCACCCACTTCAGCCTCCCAAAGTGTTGGGATTATAGGCATGAGCCACTGTGCCCAGCCTTTTTTTTTTTTAAAGTGGACTCAATTTTTGTAGCTTAAAATAATATAAAAATATTTGGGATATCTTCCCATTCCAAAACCTTTAAAAAGAAAGAGTTGATTATTTGATAACTGTGATAGATGCTAAATACGCAGCAACCTTTCTGTTGATCACCTTAATAACAGTGTTAAGCCTTACCAATTGCTGTGTATTATACAGCAGAATTTAAGAAGTTTGTTTTAGTCAGAATTAAGATTTTTTTACCAACATATTTTTATTTTATGGATACCTCCTAGTTATCCCTATGAAATTCTTTTTCATAGCAGTTAAATTAATATTTATCCACTTCTTTCCTTGGCAGATGAAGACAAAATTTGGCCCCCGTGTATCAGAGTAATTGTCATCAGATCACCTGTGTTGCAGACAGGATCACTCTTTATCATTACTGCTGTAAACCCTGCTACAATTGGAAGGTAAAATGGTTAATATTATTATATCATTCATTTATTTCAGAGTATGTATTTGTTTGTTTGTTTGTTTTTTGTTTTTGGGACAGAGTCATGCTCTGTTGTCCAGGCTGTCCAGGCTGGAGTGCAGTAGCACAATCTCAGCTCATTGCAACCTCTGCCTCCTGGGTTCAAGCGATTGTCCGCCTCAGCCTCCTGAGTAGTTGGGATTACAGGCATGCACCACCATACCCAGCTGATTTTTGTATTTTTAGTAGAGATGGGGTTTCACCATATTGGCCAGACTGCTCTCAAACTCCTGGTCTCAAGTGATCCACCCACCTCAGGCTTCCAAAGTGCTGGGATTACAGGCATGTAAGCCACCACGCCTGGCCATATGTTAAGCATTATTCTGTGTGCTGTGAGTACAAAGAAGACTAATGCAAAATCTCTACCCAAAGGAAACAGTTTCGGGGAAAAAATATGAGCAAATAATCACTGTATGAAAGTACAGGAAATCTAGAGAAGCAGTAGGGAAACTGGATAATCCATAAACAGGCTATTTACTGTTGGTAGACTTGTATTTTAACATTATGTGTTTTGTTTTTTTGAGAAGGGGTCTTGCTCTGTTGCCAGGCTGGAGTGCAGTGGTGCAATCTTGGCTCACTGCAACCTCTGCTTCCTGGGTTCGAGTGATTCTTCTGCCTCAGCCTCCTGAGTAGCTGGGACTACAGGTGTGCACCACCACGCCCAGCTATTTTTTTTTTTGTATTTTTAGTAGAGACAGGGTTTCACCATGTTGGCCAGGATGGTCTCGATCTTTTGACCTTGTGATCCGCCCGCCTCGGCCTCCCAAAGTACTGGATTACAGGCATGAGCCACTGCGCCCGGCCAACATTATCTGTTTTTAAACATTCTTTCCATTCTTTGTCACTCTATAAGTGCTACATTTATATCATATGCTTCATAAATTATTAAAGATAATTTACTTAACTCTGCAGAGAAAAGGATATGGAACATACTCTCCGAATCCCTGAAGTTGGTGTCAGTAAGGTATGCTCTTTGATTTCTCAAACATAGTCCCCTAGATCTAATTTTTTATATCATTATTACAGTAGAAAGCTTAGGGATTTTTCTCATTTAATAGGAAGGTTAATATGCAGTGTAGTAATGGTAATGAAGGCAGTGCAGATTTGTTTATTCCAGTGCTTCAGAAAATAATTCTTTATCACAATTTGAATAAACAAAATCATGTTTATTTTTAAGAATCTGGATAAGAATAGAAAACACATATTAAGTCTTAAAGTAGTACCCATTTAATGAATATTAATTGAGTGAATAAACAGGCTACATTTTATGACTATTAAAAAATGAATCATACCTGGCTTCAGGCTACTTTAGGAGGTGGTTACTTTGAGCCCAGAGTGTTTTATAACCCAAGAATATATCCTATACCACTCAGGGATCTCCTTTAAAACTTCTCTCAATTGAGCTGACGTGGGAGGATCTCCTGAGCCCAGGAGGTCAAAGCTGCAGGAAGCTGTGATCATACCACTGCACTGTAGCCTGGGTGACAGAATGAGACCCTGTCTCAAATGGTTTCAGGAAAAAGAACAATTGAGTACTTGAAACAAATAGAACAGAATTACAAGTCAAGTTATATGTAAGTAGAAAATAACTAAGGGTTTAGCTACTGAAGCTCTTTATATATTTTTACTTTTTATTTTTTTATTTTTTGAGACAGGATTTCACTCTGTCACCCAGGCTGGAGTACAGTGGTGTGATCATGACTCACTGCAGCCTTGACCTCCCAGGTTCATGCAATCCTCCTGCGTTAGCCCTGCAAGAAGCTGGGACTACAGGCATGCTCTACCGTGCCCAGATAGTTTTTATGTTTCAGAGATCTGGTTTCACCTGGGGGTTTACCAGGCTGGTCTCGAACTCCTGAGCTCAAGTGATCCACTTGCCTCAGCCTCCCAAAGTGCTGGGATTACAGGCGTGAGCCACCACATCTGTCTGAGGCTCTTTATATTTCTGTTTCCAGCACTATGTTTTCTATGTTTTCCTTCCTCTCTTATGGTTGTTACCTCTTTTCCTTTTTTGCTTTCTCTTTTTTTTTGACCTTCCATTGTTCCTGTTTTACTTTTATTTAACGGACTGTAATGTGGACCTAAAGTAGATTTTATGTGATTTTTGTGTTTTTTTTGGAATATAATTTCTCATTTTAAACTTGAAAGTCTATTTATTTACTTTCATGTTTTGGGAATGCATTCAAAAATAGGAAAATGTCCTCATAATTTTAACTTTAACGAGATTATCTTGCTTTTTCACTATGACCCTTGAGTCTCCTCAAAAAATTAAATAAAAAACCTTATCTGTAACTTAAATAGCAAAGAGCTCCAAGGTTCTTCCCCACCTTCAGTCTAAACCTTAGAACAGCCTGTAGCGGCTTTTTTTTTTTTTTTTTTTTTTTAAATAGTGACAGGGTCTTACTCTTTTGCTCAGACTGGAATGCAGTGGCACACACTGTAGTCCCTGATGACTCCTTGGGCTTAAGTGATCCTCCTGCCTCAGTTTCCTGAGTATCTAGCACTGTAGGCACACCACTGCACCGGGCTTCTGGTGGCACTTCTGTTTTTTCTTTCTTTCTTTTAGACTAATATCCGCTGGTGGGTTGGATAATTTGTTGGCGAAGTCAGTTTGACAGCACATATACCATGTATCCAAATAGATGAAAAACCTTTAAAAAAGAAACTTTATGTTAATATTAAGGGGAAAAAGAAAGCAAGTATTTAACCACTAGATAGAAGATTTTCTGAGTTTAAAAAATGGTAAAAATTACAAAGGACAAAATAATTTGCTCTTTATATGTTAAGAAACAAATTTAAAAGGCAGACTGGGACAGTCACAACAAATATGACACAATATATGTTCTTTGTTTTTTAAAAGTTCATGCAAATTTATGTTTTTGTTTTTTATTTTTGAGATGGAGTTTTGCTCTTGTTACCCAGGCTGGAGTGCAATGGCGCGATCTCGGCTCACCGCAACCTCTGCCTCCTGGGTTCAGGCAATTTTCCTGTCTCAGCCTCCTGAGTAGCTGGGATTACAGGCACGTGCCACCATGCCCAGCTAATTTTTTGTATTTTTAGTAGAGATGGGGTTTCACCTTGCTGACCAGGATGGTTTCGATCTCTTGACCTTGTGATCCACCCACCTCGGCCTCCCAAAGTCCTGGGATTACAGGCTTGAGCCACCGCGCCCGGCGCAAATTTATGTTTTTAAACCCCACTGTGACACCAGTAGTGAGCAAAAGATAACATCAGGCAATTCACAGTAAATGAAATATCGTGGTTAATATATGAAAAACCATTCAGTCTTTCTAGTAGTCTAAGAAATACAGATGAAGCCAAGGTATCAATTTTCATTCATCATTTTATTTATTTATTATTATTTATTTATTTATTTTGAGACAGAATCTCGCTCTGTTGCTAGGCACCAGGCTGTAGTGCAGTGTTGTGATCTTGGCTTGCTGCAACCTCTGCCTCATGGGTTCAAGCAATTCTCCTGCCTCAGCCTCTCAAGTAGTTGAGACTACAGGCACGCACCACCACACTCAGCTAATTTTTGTATTTTTTAGTAGAGATGGGATTTTACCATGTTGGCCAGGGTGGTCTCGATCTCTTGACCTTGTGATCCACCCGCCTCAGCTTCCCAAAGTGCTGGGATTACAGGTGTGAGCCACTGTGCCTGGCCTATTACTGTTTTTTGAGACAGAGTCTCGCTTTGTTGCCTAGGCTGGAGTACAGTGGTGCAATAACAGCTCACCACAACCTCTGCCTCCCAGGTTCAAGAGATTTTCCTGCCTCAGCCTCTCCAGTAGCTGGGACTATAGGCATATGCCACCATACCTGGCTATTTTTTTTTTTTTTTTTGGATTCTTAATAGAGACGGGTTTTCACTGTGTTAGCCAGGATGGTCCTGATCTTTTGACCTCATGATCCACCCTCCTCAGCCTCCCAAAGTGCTGGGATTACAGGTGTGAGTCACTGTGCTTGTCCTCATTCATCATTTATTAAACATTACTACTATTGGGAACATAATTTAGAACAGCTTTTTGGAATAGGGTTTGGCAGTGTATAAAGTTTTCTAAACAACCCAATTGGGAAAAAGTGTACAAAGGACATAAAAAGAAAATTTACAGAAAAGAAAACTCAAACGGCTAATAAATATTAAAAAGTTTTGGTAGTAATCAGCAAAATGCAGGTAGGCAATTTCACACCTCTTAGGCTAGCAAAAATAAATTTTGGCAATATCGAGTTTTGGGTTACTATACATAGAGGAGCAACAATTCTCACAGACTGTTGGTGGGAATATGAATTGATACAACCACTTTGGAAAACAGTATCTAGTAAAGTTTAAGATTTGCTTATATTATGATTTAATAATTCTGTTCCTAAGTGTGTACTCCAGAGGAACGCTTGCATTTTGTACACAAAAAGATTGCAGGTACAAGAAGGTTTATAGTAATATTTTTAAAAGTAGTAACACCTTGGGGAAAAACCCTGAATGTCCATTATCAGAAAGATGGAAGGATAGATTATGGTACAGCCACACAACGTATTAACATTCATCAAAAATGAATGAACTGCAACTCTGTAACTTTGTATAACAACTTGGTGAACCTCATGACAATGTTAAGACAGAGAAGCAAAATAAGAGGAATAAAGTGCTATGGAACAAGGAGGGAATGATTAGTCCTAACTATTGAAGATCTTGGAAACATCTCTGAGAAGTTGGCCTTGAGTGTTTCAAATCACATTTTGTATTACAAATTTTTGGCGGGGTGTGGTGATTCATGCCCATAATCCCAGCACTTTGGGAGGCCGAGGCAGGAGGATCACTTGAGCTCAGGAGTTCGAGAACAGCCTGGGCAACATGGTGAAAACCCTGTCTCTACAAAAAATTCAAAATTAGCCAGGTATGTTGATACACGCCTGTAGTCCCAGCTACTCAGGAAGCTGAGGTGAGAGGTGAGAGGATTGCCTGAGCCCAGGAGGTCAAGGCTGTAGGAAGTTGTGATCACACCATTGCACTGTAGCCTGGGTGACAGAGCAAGATCCCATCTCAAAAAAAAAAAAGTTTTTAATGATACAGAAAATACATTAGGTGAAAAATTTTCAAATTATAATCTCAACTCCGGTACAAAGGAGAAAAGGGTAGGACGTAATACTAAATTTTTCATGGTGAAGGTAGAGTTATAGATGACATTTTCTTCTGTAGCCTCTGTTTCTGCCAGAAGCATATAGTAATTTGTGTTTCTGAAAAGGTATTAAGTATAATAAAATCTAAATTATAAAAGACTCAAGTTAACATCATCATATCATACAGAAATTGTTATTCATGGTTTTGAAAAGTATAGTAATTAATAATTGCTTGATTTCATTTTCTAAGTTTCATGCAGAAATTCATTTTGACCATGACTTACAAAGTTATGTGCTTGTGGATCAAGGCAGTCAAAATGGTACAATTGTTAATGGAAAACAGATTCTTCAGGTGAGTGTATATGTATTAATTGCCTGCACATGATTTTTAAACTGAATTTTTTAAATTCTGAAGGCCATAATCTTTATCATTTGGTTCAGATTAGAGTTAAGCTCAATTGTGTTGCTTGGAAAAGAATTTCCAGAAAGGCTGAAAAAAGTATATAATCAGTGGGTACTTACTTGGCTGTTGAGTTTTGACTTCTACTTATGTATCTATGCCTTATTTTCCGTTATGAATCCATTGTAAAGCTATTCGGTGTAAATGTGTAAATGTTCTTAATAGCAAATTTGAAGGTATTCCCTTTTTTTTTTTTTAAGACAGAGTCTTGTTCTGTCATCAGGCTGGAGTGCAGTGGTGCAATCTTGGCTCACTGTAACCTCAGCCTCCTGGGTTCAAGCGATTCTTCCGCCTCAGCCACCTGAGTAGCTGGGACCACAGGCGCGTGCCACCATGCCTGGCTAATTTGTTTGTATTTTTAGTAGAGACAGGGTTTCACCATGTTGGCCAGGATAGTGCCGATCTCTTGACCTCGTGATCTGCCTGCCTCGGCCTCCCAAAGTGCTGGGATTACAGGTGTGAGCCACCGCACCTGGCCAGGTCCTCCCCCTCCTTTTTTTTTTTTTTTAATTGTCTTAATGGAAATGCTACTAAGTTGGAAACTTCTTAAAGGCAGAAGCTATGTCTATTTAGTTAATACTTATATCCTCAGCATGTAGCGAAGTATTTGGCATATAATAAGAAAACAGAGGTGCCAGGTGTGGTGGCTCATGCCTGTAATCCTAGCACTTTGGGAGCCCAAGGCCGGTGGACCATCTTAGGTTAGGAATTCAAGACCAGCTTGGCCAACATGGTGAAACCCCATCTCTACTAAAAATACAAGAATTAGCTGGGTGTGGTGATGTGCGCCTGTTATTCCAGCTACTTGGGATGCTGAGGCAGGAGTATCACTTGCACCGGGGAGGTGGAGGTTATAGTGAGCCGAGATTGCGCCATTGTACTCCAGCCTGGGCTACAGAGTGAGAGACTGTCTCAAAAAAAGAAAATACAGGGAAGGAGGGAGGCCTTATTCTTAATCTGTAACAATAAAAATGGAAATAAAACTGAGTTATCAAGAGAAGAATGTGATGCATTTATCCCACTCTTAACACTTGCATCTTTTTTACTATGATGATTATGTTTTGATAATAGATTGAAGTCTAGAATTGGATAGTTTTGATTGGATAGGGAGGTGGGTTTGTTAAGTAACTCAGTTCAGCTGTCTTCATCTCCACTAGTAGAACATTTTTTATGGGTCATGAAGTTGGGAAGTGTGTGCGTGTGTGTGTGTATTTCATTAACAGGTATTTTTAAAATTATAATCAGACATTACTTACAGTAGACTTAAGATAACCACATGTGAGTATTTTGATTTCTGTTTTATAAAATGTTTCCCCTCTAGCCAAAAACTAAATGTGACCCTTATGTACTTGAGCATGGAGACGAAGTGAAAATTGGAGAAACTGTTTTATCCTTTCACATTCACCCTGGCAGTGATACCTGTGATGGCTGTGAACCAGGGCAGGTTAGAGCCCACCTTCGCCTTGATAAGAAAGATGAATCTTTTGGTATGTAAAACAATTAAATGTGGCTGTGATAACATTTCTCTTTCATTACTTAAATGTTCTAAAAATATCAGTCAGCTACTGGCTTCATGTCTAATTTGGTATAATACTGCATTGAGATACATTTATATAAAGCTATTGGTCTTGTATCCAGTTGATGTAATAATAGATTGAGATATATTTCAGTAAATATTACCAAATGAGATTAAGAAATGACATATATTTGGAATTTGAGACCTAGGCTGATAGAGTAATTGTAGTTGATTTTTCTGTGTAAGAATTTAGCTGTATGATATGTAGCATTGGTCTGCTTTCTGACCAGGAAAGAGATTGGATTAGTTCTCTTTCTGCTAATCCAGTTTAGTAGGCTTTTGAGGCAGACTGTAGTGGTAGCCTAATGTCCTTAAGAGGAGTTGTAATTGAAAATTGCTAAGAGACTAGATTTTAAGTGTTCTCACCATACACAAAATGATGATAAGTACGTGAGGTGGTAATGGATATGTTAATGAGCTTGATTTAGCCAGTTTTCAATGTATACATATATCAAAAATTGTGTTGTACACCATATATACAATTTTTATCAGTTAAAATAATTTAAAAAGTAAGACTTAATAAAGTAATAATTTAATAAAGATTGGTTTCTTTCTGATGTGTGTATTGATGCAAAAAAAGTCATCCACAATTGAACTCTGTCATGTGATATTAACATAGGAAATAATAGACCAAGGTATTAAGGGCTATAGATTGATATGTTTTCTGTCCTATTGACAGCTCATGCTGTATATTGTCTATGAACCATTAGTTTTTATAATAGCACTGTAGGATATTACTGTTGTGCTTTCAGCCCACCCATCTAATGCTCTTCAAATTTATATAGATGCTTTGAACTAGTAAGAGGTCATCTTTTTTGACATAAATTTTTCCACTAAATGCCAAGTATGCATGTTCATTGTTTATTTTTTGTTTTCTGATACTAATTTGAAAATGAGTATGTTGTATTACACAATAACATGAATTTTGGGTTCTCTGGCTTTATTTTGCACATGGCTATGTTCCTTTGCAAAATTCACTTAGTATTTCTGCATTTGAGATTCTGTTGTAATAAGCATGTTGAAAAATCAAGATGTTTATTGTTCATTTTGGTATCTATACTGTAAAATTCCTATCATCTGTAGTTTTTGCTTTATTCTCAAGTAGGTTTAGTTACCAAACTTCTGAAAAGACATCATCACAAACCAATATCCTTTATATTAATATTTATTTCAACTTCTGGTTGATCGGAATGGGTTACTAATGGTTCTTTTAGTTTTTTATGAAATAACAGTTTTAATTTTCTACAAAATCAGATTTAGTGGTTTTTTTAAACCAAAAGTTCTTTTTCTTTCAGTTGGTCCAACACTAAGTAAGGAGGAAAAAGAGTTGGAAAGAAGAAAAGAATTAAAGAAAATACGAGTAAAATACGGTTTACAGGTGAAGATGTTAAATATTATTTCATGTGTTAAGCTGTATATCTGGTTTTGAGTAAAAATGGTCTTTAAATATTTGGATATATTTTATATATAAATAGTTGTATGATTTTGTGATTTCTATTAGTTTACTGTTCTGGTATTTATAACCTAAAAACTATTGAAGTTGGAGTAGAAAAATGATGATTGCCTACATTCGAATATACATTTCTGATTTTCAGAAAACTTGCATTAAGATGCCTTGACATAGCTAGACATAGTAGTGTCTGTAGTCCCTGGTACTTGGGAGGCTGAGGCAAGAGGGTCGCTTTAGATAAGGAGTTCAAGGCTACAGTGAGCTGTGATTGCATTTGTGAATGGGCCCTGCATTCTAGCCTGGGCAATACAGCGAGATCCTGTATCTACAAAGAAGATGCCATTGACTGAAAAACATAGTTGGAGAACTAATACAGCCTGATTTCAAGACTTTCTATAATTAAACTACAGTGATTAAGGCAGTGTTATATTGGCATAAAGATAAACAGATGGATGGAACAAAATAATAGTCCAGAAGTAGATCCAAATGTACGTATGGACAATTAAGTTTTGATAAATGTATGAAGGCAGTTTGGTGGAGAGAGTGGTGGTTTTTTTTTTTTTTTTTTTTTTTTTAAGACAGCATCTTACTTTGTTGCCCAGGCTAGAGTGCAGTGGCATGATCTCGGCTCACTGCCACCCCTGCCCCCCAAGTTCAAGTGATTCTCCTGCCTCAGCCTCCCACGTGGCTGGGATTTCAGGTGCCTGCCACCACACCTGGCTAATACTTGTATTTTTAGTAGAGACAGGGTTTCACCATGTTGGCCAGGCTGGTCTTGAACTCCTGACCACAGGTGATCTGCTCACCTTCGCCTCCCAAACTGCTGGGATTACAGGCACAAGCCATCGTGCACGGCCACGGGGGGTCTTTTTCAACAAGTAGTGGTAGAATAATTGGATGGCCTTACCAAGAAAAAAAAAACCACAAACAAAAAGAGTGTTGATCCATACATACCTTGAACCATCTATAAAAATTACTCAAAAATGGATCATAGATATAAAAGTAAAACCTAAAACTTTAAAACTTCTAGAAATGTTTTTTTAAAGGCCAAGATTTCTAACAACAAAAGCACAATTCTTAAGAACAAAGTGGTAATCTGTATTTCTTCAAAATTAAAAACTTATGTGTTTTCAAAGACACTATTAAGAGAATGAAAAGGCAGGCCACAGACTGGAGAAAATATTTGCAAATCATATATCTGGTCAAAGACTTCTGTATCTAGAATATACATAAAACCTAACGAAACTTAAGAAAAGAGCTCAGTTAAAAGAATGGGCCCAATATTTGAATAGGTACTTCACCAAAGAAGATATGCCGATGGCAAATAAATACCTGAAAAAATGTTTAGTATCCTTAGTCTTTAAGGAAATGCAAATTAAAACCACAATGAGATACCACTACATGTCTATTAGAATGCCTAAAATTTGAAAAACTGACTATAATGGGTATTGGAAGGGTTGTGGAGGAACTAGAAATCTCATACCCTGCTGGTGGGAATGTAAAATGGTGCAGTTGCTTTGGTAGTTTCTTAAAAAAGTTAAACATACACCTATTACACAATTCAGCCATTCTACTCTGAGACATTTTGCCCAAGATAAATGCTAGCATATGTGCATAAGAAGACTAGTAAAGAAATGTTCATTGCAGTTGTTTTTTGGAATAACCAAAAACTGAGAAAAACTCAAATGTCCATCATATATTGATAAGCAAACTATGGTGTATCCATATGGTGAAAATACTATTTAGCAATAAAAAAGCAGGAATTAGTAATATAGGCCACAATCTGGATGAATCTCGGAATAGTTATGTTGAGTGAAAGAAGCCAAATAAAACAAGTATATGTGCTTCCACTTGTGGAACAGTTTCGCTGTGCTCTGGTTTTCAACTTGTCTGAGGTCAGTGAGACAGAACACACTCTCATACAAGTTACATGAAGCAAACTTATTACTTACAAATAGGTAGCAAGGGATGACAGAAGCCTAGGATTTATTGTGAAATGCCCCCCCTCAGAGCTCAGAAAGCTGCCTTCTGGGTGAATGGAGTCTCAACTGTGTGTGTCCTGCTTGCACAGCCGTTGAGGGATCCTGGAAAGCAGCCCACTTTTGAGTTATGAACCTCAGGGCTATTTGACTCACTGGGCTGAAACACTGAAAAGACATCCTGTTTCCAGGTGGGGACTGGAACAGAGCCTGGACTGTTTAAGCCAATCCCTCCTTACCTCAGGATGTTGCATTCCCAGCATATCGTGGTTGGTCTTGAGAACTACAAACAGGAAAGTGGGGTGAAGTGTTCTGTACCATGTATATAAACTTCTAGGAAAGCAAACTAATGTATTGTAACAGAAGGAAGATGACTGATTGCTTAGACACAAGGGAGGAATGCTACACAGGGAAGGTCTAGAGAGTTGGACTACAAAGAGGGACAAGGACACTTTTGGGAGAGATGGATATGTTTATTATCTTGCTTGTGGTGACAGTTTCATAGGTCCATAAATCTCAAAAGTATCTTAATATACACTGTATGATTTATTGTATTTTAATTATATCTCAATAAAGGTGTTTTTGTAAAAAAGTTACCATTTAATCCTGTAAATAGATCAGGAAGGCAATTAATATTTCTAGTTTACTTTTGAGAAATTAAAGCTTAGTAGCCCAGCTAGTAAATGATAGAGTTAGATATAGAATCTAGGTCTTACGTATATTTGTGCTACATTTTTACACTTCATGAAGATGTGAAAAAATAAGTTGCTGTCAAAATAACATTTTTCTGTCAAATTGTATTTTTTTGTCGTTGCTGTTGTACTAAGGTAGAGAAATCATAGAAAGAGTAAGATAGGCCAATTTGGGGAAAAACTGGAAGACATTTAAAGAGATAACACAATTGTTTTCTCAAAAATTTTAGCTCAATTTCTGTATTCTCTTCTGGGGGAAAAACTTACTAGGATACTAGGTTCTGTATTTTTCTTCTCTTTTTTTTTTTTTTTGAGACGGAGTTTCGCTCTTGTTACCCAGGCTGGAGTGCAATGGCGCGATCTCGGCTCACCGCAACCTCCGCCTCCTGGGTTCAGGCAATTCTCCTGCCTCAGCCTCCTGAGTAGCTGGGATTACAGGCACGTGCCACCATGCCCAGCTGATTTTTTTGTATTTTTAGTAGAGACAGGGTTTCACTATATTGGCCAGGATGGTCTCAATCTCTTGACCTCGTGATCCACCCGCCTCGGCCTCCCAAAGCGCTGGGATTACAGGCTTGAGCCACCGCCCCCGGCCTTTTCTTCTCTTTGTAAAAGCAAAATTAAGTAAAAGCTTCTGTCATACCTTCCTTGAATTGCTCTCTGGTCCCTATTATCTCTCTGAATGAATGTCATACTTTTTATGTAAAGATCAGCAAGTTACAACAAAGGGAAAGGGAAGGCTTCTATGAATGCTGAATTGACTACCCTTCTTTGTGCCACCACAGCTTGTATATGACATACTGTTCATCCAGTGAATGTTTGTTAAGTGACTAGTCACTTAAATGGAGCCTTACTGAAACAAAAAACTATTATTGCCAGAGTAAATGGGTTTTTTAAAAGCGTCTACATTTTTCCATTCTAATAAACAATATGGAACTACTATAGGTCCCTTGGAACTTTCAGTTCCTTAGAGAAAAGGGGAGATAGATTTTTTTTCCCAACCCCAGGGATTCTGTATTTTTCTTTGAATACTAGTAGTTCCTATGACAAGATGAGAACATAGCATTAAGTCAGAATGTACTATATTTTCACCATATTAATTTCTTATTTATATGTATGTTGTGGTATAACTTGCAATAATATAAACATTTTAAAGGGAATAGAATAAAAGTAGCGTATCTAATATGACAATTTCTTCATATCTTTTTTTTTTTATAACTTTAATATAAATCAGGTAGAGATGGGGGTCTTGCTGTATTGCTCACATTGGTCTCAAACTCCTGGCCTCTAGCTTTCCTCTTGCCTCAGTTTCCCAAAGTGCTAGGACTACAGGCATGAGCCACCATGCCCAGTAATTTCTTCATATCATAGCTAGTTTTTTATTTAATTGTTTATAGGGCCACATTGAACCATATTTGTTAAGTAAGGCACATGTACAGAAATTGTATTTTATTTATCAGCTTTCTTTTCCTCAATGAATACTTTGTGTTTATTAAGAATACAGAATATGAAGATGAAAAGACATTGAAGAATCCAAAATACAAAGATAGAGCTGGAAAACGTAGGGAGCAGATTGGAAGTGAAGGAACTTTCCAAAGAGATGATGCTCCTGCATCTGTTCATTCGTAAGTTTTGAATTACAGTGGTTTGAAACATCCTTTGTTCATAATCACATTCATAGGGTGGTCTGATATATGCGGCTGTATATCCTGATAGGTGGCCTTTATTTTTATTTATTTACTTTCTTTTTTGAGACAGAGTCTCACTTTGTCGCCCAGGCTGGATTCAAGTGATTCTCCTGCCTCAGCCTCCTGAGTAGCTGGGTTTACAGATGCATGCCACCACGCCCAGCTAATTGTTGTATTTTTAGTAGAGATGAGGTGTCATCATGTTGGCAGGCTGGTCTTGAACTCCTGACCTTGTGATCCGCCTGCCTCAGCCTCACAAAGTTCTGGAATTATAGGCATGAACCACCACACCCGACTGATAAGTGGCTTTTAAATGAATGTTTTCACAACAAAATGGAGATACTAAGTCTATTTATTTCCTTCCTCTAATCTTAGAATTCCATTAACCCCCTAAAAAATTGCTGAGCATATACGTGAACACCTGTACTTAAGCACACGTATATTATGTTAACAGTTGAGCCACACAGCTGAGTGAGTATACTTTCACATGCTAGACTTATCTAGAAGCCTGAACTGGTAAGAACTTGATATGGGACTGGAATTTTTTTTTTTTTTTTTTGAGGTGGAGTTTCACTTTTGTTGCCCAGGCTGGAGTGCAATGACGCACTCTCGGCTCACCACAACCTTTGCCTCCTGGGTTCAAGCAATTCTCCTGCTTCAGCCTCCTGAGTAGCTGGGACTGCAGGTGCCTGCCACCACATCTGGCTAATTTTTTGTATTTTTAGTAGAGACGGGGTTTCACCACATTGGCCAGGCTAGTCTAAAACTCCTGACCTTGTGATTCGCCCACCTCCGCCTCCTAAAGTGCTGGGACATGACACTTTTTTAAAAACTTAATATTTAAAACATAATCTTGGAAAATATAAAGAGTACATTTGAATTAAATAAGACAAATTTAAAATAAAACACAATGGTTTGACATTGCTTGGTTATTAATTGAAGGTGGAACTGAAAAGATAATGTAATAGACATAAAATACTCTTAAATTAAAATACAGAATAATGGACAAAATGCAAATAGTGATTACAAGGTTTTATTTCATTTTAACTTTTTAATCTATAACATGTAAAGGAAAATACACAAATTCTAAGTATGCACCTCATTAATACATCATAAGATTAACATATTGCAGAATACACATTTCTTGGACAAGAAATAGAAAATTATCAGTAACCCCAGAAGCTTATCCTCCTTGTGCCCCACGTAATCACTATCCTGCTCTCCTCCCCAAAGATAATCACCTTCCTGACAGCAATAGATTAATTTCACTCATTTAAAAATTTTAAAGAAATGGAATAATTCAGTGTTTATTTTGTGTCTAGAGAAGAATTATAGACATTATTTTGTTAGGTATGGTTTATTTTTATTACTGAATAATATTCTGCTATATGAATATGCCACAATTTCTCCATTTTAACTATTGCTGGACATCTGGATTGTTTCTGATTTGTTGCTATTGGATTTGCTGGAGGAACATTGTTATATGTGTCTTTTGGTGCATGTGCACATGCTTTTCTAAATAGGATTTGTACCAGTGGAATTTGTATGTCTTCAACTTTGTTAGGTAATGCCAAGCAGTTTTCTAAAGTAGTCGTACCAGTTATGTTTAATTCATGAATTTATTATAAATGTGACCTAAAAGATGTTTTGTAAATCAACTATCATTTTCATATTCCTTAAAGTGAAATTACTGATAGCAACAAAGGTCGGAAGATGTTGGAGAAGATGGGTTGGAAAAAAGGAGAGGGCCTGGGGAAGGATGGTGCAGGAATGAAAACTCCGGTAAGACTTGGATTTTCTTTCATTCATTCATTCCCAGAGCAGACATTTACTGTGTACGTTAATGTGCCAACCGTTGCCTTAAGTGCTAAGAATATAGTGGAAAGCAAAAACAGACATGATTACTGCCTTTGTGGCATTCACAATGGCCAAATGTATACACATAACTTCGTTTTGTTTTTTGTGTTACAATTTTCAAAAGCCTCTTTTTGAGTGTTTTTCCCACATTAAAGCTAGGATAAGACGTGCTATTTCCTGAGCCAAAGGTTCTTCTGTGTTTTAGAGTTGTTTTTAATAATTGTCTTATTGAGCCTGATACTGAGCATTCAAGAACAATCACAGCGTTAGTGTACAAACAGGCAGATTCTGTATGAGCTGAAAAATCGATTAGGTTCAAGAATCAGAGCATGTAACATGGAATATAGAGAATAATGTCTGGGAAATGACAGAGTGGTTTACCTAGTAGTCCTGTGGTTCATAGGAAGTTTGGTTATCTTTCACACAAACCTTAAGAAGTAACCTGACTGAAGAACTTTCTGGATAATTACTTAGTACCTAAAGAAATAATAGATGGATCAATGTGAGTATATGCCAGTTTTCTCATTTTTATTGAGGTACAGTGGAAAGAACAAGGGTTTTGTAGTCAGATCTAGATTAGAATATGTGCTCTATCATTTGTGAGCTCTGTGGCTTTGGGCAAGTTCAGACATTAATTTTCTTATGAAAAAATGGGGATAAGAACTCTTTTTCAGGGTTGTGTTGAAGATAAAGCCCCAAGCATTGTACCTTACATTAGGCATTCAGTAAATGGTAGCTTTGAATGTTCTTAAAATATTGAGAAATGCTCTCCTGCTGTTGCGAAAATAATCAGATTCTCTTTATAGTTATTAATTTTTAACCTGCTCTTTCACTTACTTAGGTAAGGATAGGGTGGTAGGCTTAAACCTATCCATTGCCATTATTTCTGGTTAAGGTAGAATGACATACTCTGCAGCATCTAAATGAAATTTGGTGATTGCTGGTTAAGGAGTACTCTACTTTCTGTAAAGTAGGCTGCACTTATTGACAGGCAAGACAATGTAGAAAAACGAGTTAAGTTTCATGTTTAAAGAGACATACATTCTTGTATGTATTTGATGCATTTGACAGGTTTTCTTTTGCATCAGTCTTTAATAAATCAAAAAATTGTAGAGTCCTAAGTTGGACACAATAGATTTCAATGTGTTTAGACTCTAAAATAAGTCCTTTGCTCAACTTTTGGTAACAGATCCAGCTTCAGCTTCGGCGAACACATGCAGGCTTGGGGACAGGCAAACCATCCTCAATTGAAGATGTTCACCTTCTTCAAAACAAGAACAAAAAAAACTGGGACAAAGCACGAGAGCGGTTTACTGAAAACTTCCCAGAAACTAAACCTCAAAAAGATGACCCAGGGACCATACCTTGGGTAAAAGGGACTTTAGAGTAAAGGTTGATCATAGAAGAAAACTCTATAGTTTTTTTAAAAAGAGAGTTTGGAAACTCTTATTTTTTCTTCCCCAAAGAATCAGCAGCGTGGGCGAACTGGGTCACAGTTTACCTCTTCCTGATTCAGAAATGTGTAATAAAGTACGGTTTGCAGCTTTTAAAACTATTTTTTTAAACTAGTGAATAGTGACTGAATCAATTTATGCAGTAAGTAGACTAAAGTTCACAGGGCACGGATGAGTTTATCAAACTTCATTATTTTGTCATTTACAACATCCATATAAAGCAGGCGTCCCCAAACTACGGCCCGCGGGCCGCATGCAGCCCCCTGAGGCCATTTATCCAGCCCCCCACCGCACTTCAGGAAGGGGCACCTCTTTCATTGGCGGTCAGTGAGGGGAGCACAGTATGTGGCCGCCCTCCAACGGTCTGAGGGACAGTGAACTGGCCCCCTGTGTAACAAGTTTGGGGACGCCTGATATAAAGCAACTAGCTAAGCAAAATTCGTATAACTAATGACTTAAATGTACATCTGTTTTTGTCTCTATATATTCATGTAAGATGCACAACAAAAGAAACACCAAAAGTTTATAAAAATAAATCTGACTGTATGCATCACTATCTGTGCCCTTTAGAACCTAGATAAAAAATGTTGAGAAAACATGGGTAGTGGTGCATACATTTTGTTATCCTTGAAATAGCCTAAGTAATATTATTGAAGAACTAATGAACAGGCAACATGTAGAAAATTAATCTTTCATTGTTTTCTTCTGTGAAGAATCTGTTGATTTGTACTATATATTCAGCATTTATATTTGGTTTGTTTCATAGCTAATGAGATATTTAGATATGAACAACTGAATACATATTGAAATAGTGTGCTGGCATTTGTAGTTTTGATAAATACCATTGCAGGCAATGGAGTTGTGCCAGAGAAATCTGATTTCTAGTACTAAAGGAATACTTAGCCAGGGCCTAAAGCTCAAAATATTTATTGAAAACATCCTCAGTTGCAATAAAAACATTATAACATTAAAAAGAGTGATTTGTTGAACCAGTGATTTAAATGTATTGATCTGCTTTGAATTTGCAACCAGCCAGAATTTGCTAGTTAAAATTGGCAGAGTTATAACAAAGGAGAGACTCAAAGATTAGACACTTGCAGTGCAGCTTTCTGGGTGCAGGTGTCACTGCTCTGCCAGCTATCATTATTCTGTTCAGTTTTTCTCTCAGGTGTTTGCTGGGAAATTAACACTGGAACTGACCCTTTTCTGGCAGTGAATGTGAACTCTAGCCTCCCTATCTACTATAAAGAAATGTCTTCAAGATGTAGAAATAAGGACTATTCTGAAAAAAATTATACAGTAGTAAAGATAATTCAGAAAGGAAAAGCGACCTGTTAGAGTTTCCAGTCTCAATGGCACAGGGTAGTTAGGGAGGAAAGGGGATGGAGAAAGAGAAACCATGACTAAAAATGAGAGATATGTCCCTTAAGCTGGGACAATCAGGCCCTAAACTCCAAATCTGGATAAAATATTTCTTTGAATTCTTCTTGGCCCCCTGCATAGTCTGACACATACATATGTACAATTAGGCTTGCAGGCCGCAGGAATGCCCTACATTGTTTTCTTTTCGTTAGAAATAAAACGTATTAGTCTAAATGTGGTTCTGGTGCTGGTGCCCTGTATATATGTAACAATATAGGACCCCCCCAGATAGATTTTGCTTCTGGTGAGCCTTATGCATTGGGTTAGTATATGACTGTCTAATATTTACCATTTGTATTATTATATTGGGGAAAACTTTTTTTTTTTTAATATCATTTTCTATTGTTAAGAAAATGGAAAACTTAAGTATGGTGTTAAAAATGGAACTATATGTGATATTCGCATTATTAAACCCCTTGGCAGATCTAAAGTCTCAGGGTTCCACTATTAGTGGTTAAAGTACTGAATAATGTCTGGGTCTATTTCCATTTGTAAAATAAGAATAATGTTTATCTCACATGTCTGTCTCGAATAGCAAACGAGAAAATGTATATAAAAGCACTTTGTAAATTGTAAAAGTAGTACAGATGTGAGCTTCTATTTGTTTAGAAGCGTAAATGTGAATTATGTACAGTTTGAATTATGCATAAATTTTTTGTGTCTAATATTTTAAATATTTGTTTATTCACACCATGCATTTTCTGAGTAGCTTTTAAGTATGTATTTTAAGTGGAGCTGCAAGTTCCTGAATTTTAAGAAATCTGACATCTAATATTTTTGCCACAACATGAGAAGCTGGCAAAGTTGAGAACAGAAGAAACCTTCAACATTAAATAGAAATTTTTTCCAGTGTAAAATAGAGAAAGCACTCTTGTCCTCAAAAAGAGGAACTCTTTTCTGCTTTTGAAACAAGTGTTACTTCTGATGTTTCATTTTTATTCTGAACTGATAGAAAGTAACGGTTTACGCAAATCAAAAACCTTCTGACTTTTCATATAAAAGATTTTTTATTTTTTATGGTTTTTATTTTTATTTTTGAGACAGACTCTTTCTCTCTTGCCCAGACTAGGGTGCAGTGTGCAATCTCAGCTCACTGCAACCTCTGCCTACTGGGTTCAAGCCATTTTCATGTCCCAGCCTCCCAAGTAGCTGGGATTACGTGTGCATGCCAACATGCCCGGCTAATTTTTTTATTTTTAGTATAGACGGGGTTCACCATGTTGGCCAGGCTGGACTCCAGCTCCTGACCTCAGGTGGTCTGCCTGCCTCGACCTGTGAAAGTGCTGGGATTACAGGCATAAGCCACCATGCCTGTCCAAAAGATTTATTTCTTAATTTGACATATTTTTAAAGAGCAGGCAAAGAAGAAAGAAATCTCAAACAAGGGAAAGTAAGACTCTTTGGAGATTGCCTACAAAAGCCATTCTGTAAAGTTGCAAGACAGAGGGATGTTCTTGGCAGGGGGCCAGAAAGCACTGGTGGACCCAAAACCCAAAGGCAGTCTCAGGAATAGTTAAGTGTTTTCCACGCCATCTTGTTCTAAAAGTATGCTTCTCTTGTTAGTATGGCATCACTTATTTTTCTGCTCTGAATCTTTGATTCAAAACATTTCATTTTACTTTTTCAGCCTTTAAAGTGGAAATGCATTTTGATTCTTTAAAATGAGGCAGTGGTTAGTATGTTTCTGTGTGTTCCAGGGTCCAGGCTGTCTCTTCTGCTTTTCTGCTTTACTAATCTTAGTGTTGGCTTATGGCCTTGTATTTGCAAAATGGCTTTCGAAACTTTAGACGTCATATTCATACCTAAAGCAGAAAGAGGAAAGAGCAGTGTAAAGTGCTAGTTCTGTTTTTTTTTTTTTTTTTTTTTAGGAAAACAAAAGCTTACTCAGAAGCTGACTTCTTAGGGTCGTTAGCCAGAACCGGATAGCATGGCTGCCCATAGAAGAGATGTTATAAAAGTAGGCAACAAGATGGTCACATTTGGCTTAAGCCAATCATGAACCATCACCTGCAGCTGAGAATGTTGCCATTGGAATAAAATAGGTTCAGTGAACCAGGCAGAAGGGGGCAGTGGATGTTGAATGGGCATGTTGGTAATTGTCTGCTAGATAACATACCTGTCCATCAGTGGGGACCAGAGGGTTGCTTAAATTGTGATGCATCCCTACCAAGTAATACTTTCTAGCCATTCAAATGAATTAGAACTGCCTATACCCTAGTATAGAAGAATATCTCACTAGATTGCTGATTTTAAAAAGCAGATTGTAGCAAAGTATATATGACATAATTCTGTTTTTATTTTTAAATTATAAAGGTACATATTGAGTTGCTAATTACCCAGTGAGCAAACTTTCATTTTTTTATTTTATTATTTCTATATTTGAACTTAAAAAAAGTAAACAGGTATAAGTGTGTGGTTAATAGATATGTATATACACATTTGTGGTAAGAATTTACCCAGAAGCGGGGAGGCCTTCATGGCTCAAACCCAGGCATTTTTCTCATGTATACCCAGTTTCATTTACCATCTATAAACTCATGACTTCTAGGCTGTCTTGGGATATTGATTCTGAGCTTATGACCTACATATCCACCTCAGAGTCACTATAAATGGAACTCCAAGACCAACTCCATAATCCTCTCCAAACCTCGTCTCTTCTAGTTTACTCTCTTCGGCTGGTAACCTCATCCATCCAGTTGTGAGAGCCAGAAGCCTAAGTCAGTCTCTGTTTCACTACTACCAGCTTTTCTCCCCTTTGTCTGTTTCCAACATATTAAATCCGTTCACTGTCACCACTCACCTGAATTACTCTGAGGGCCTCCTAACTTGTCTTTTTGCAGTCACTCCTCCATTC